TGTTAATACATTATGATTAATGATGAGTCCCTATCAGGATCGTCATTGGACGATGAACAGCTCTCTTACGCTTGAAGCTTAGGGTTCTGTTATTTCTTTTATGATATTATTTGAGAATTTTGTAATTAAGTTAAAAGCAGATGAATGGAAGGTAAATTTATTTTCTATTTTAAAGATAATAATATATACAGTCAATGTACGTAGTTTACAAATTATGATGTTATGAATTAATGTTAGAGATTGTTAAGATAATAATAATCGATTGAGGATGAGCAAGGAGAAAAAGATCAAATGATTATGATCGATGCGTCACGGATATTAGTTTTCTCTTCTTTTTGTATAAATTTTCAGACGCGTGAATGTCAAGTCTTTGTTAATAATATTAACAGGGATACGCGTGTTGGGTTTTGTCATTCACAATGAGATTTTTACCTGTCCAATACTAACTGCTATCGACGATAATACAGACTTTTCCGATAATGCTCTCATATCATAGTTCTAGCAAAATCAAGGTAACATAGTATCATCAAATATTAAACTGTTGATTAGTGATTGATCACTTAGAACAATTATCATATAGAAAACACAAGAAAGTAATATCACTTAATTTTAAAAAAAAATTATAAAAAAAAAACTTCTTGGCTTGCTTGCAATTCACGCCTTGGCTTTGGCTTCATATTCATGTGGAGGCTGCAATCAAATATATATTTATTCAGTTAAGCTGAGCAACAAGATGAAACGAGAGAGAGATTGATTTATTTATACCATGAAAATTGCAGATATCATCTTCTGTGCAAACCATCTCGTATGCATTGCTCTTTGAGCCGCAGCTGCCGCCTGCACCGAATCAAAACGCACATACACAAAACCTGCGCTGTTCCTGCGTTTTACCAGATTCCAAAACCAAATATCACATTGTCTATTATAAACCTCGAGAGCCAAATATGCAAAGACAAATATAAGTGAAATACTTACTTGTCTACATAAATATGGTTGACTCTGCCATACTTTGAACATTCTTCCTCAACGTCTACTTTGATATCTTCTTCAAAATCCGGTTCCGTCTGCAACCAAGTAACAACTTCATGTGAATAATTACTTCCTTTACTTGTAGGAAAGAGCCACCAGTCCATTTATAAAAGGGCTGAGACTCTCTTTTTTTTTTCCACAGCTCACAAACGAGAACAAAAAGAAGAAGAAGAAGCACGAAATCGAACCTCGGTTGCAGGATCAAACATGTTCTTCAATAGAAGACATTCACTTGGCTGACCAATAGGCTCTGTGACTAAAGAAGGAATTGCTGTTGTCGGAAGCACTGACGTGGGGAAGCCAGCATTCATGCCTGCTTGGTTAAGAGCTGTTCCATTTAGCGCTGGTACCCCAATAGGTCCCCCAATGCTGCGGAAAAATTCCATGTGGTGTTAATAAGGAGAGAAGCGCAAACAACAGATATGTCTGTGAGCTAAACAAACAAGAGAGAGAAACATACCTTGTTGCGATACCTGTTCGATCCAGCTTTTGCATAAGGAGAACCCTCGATTGTGCATTTAAAGCCTGTGAGATAGAGAGATTCGTTAAAGAACAAGCACTGAAGAAAAACGAGACAAAGGGTACAAGGACAAGGTTCTCTAGCTTACCAGCCCACCTCCATCATCATCATCAAAATCAGCAGATTTTGGATGAGCCTCTTGTGTACCAATATGATCAGAGACAGAATTAACCTTAGGAAACAAATATAGAATCAGATACATGCAAGTCCAATAATTCATCACTTGTCCACAAAGAGTTTAAAACTCACCTTGAGTGTCCGACCAGCAATCTCCAGTTTTCCATTTAACGCAATTTGTGCTGCCTTTGAATGTTCAACTTGGGCAAACTATGGAAGAGAAATTAATTTAAGTGAGGACTAACGAAGAAAAAAGGGAACCAACAAGTTTATAACGAGCTCTACTAACCTGGATAAATCCATAACCTTTGCATTGCCCAGTTTCAAGGTCAAGTGGTAGCTGGACAAGCTCAACGGGACCAAACGGCTCAAAAATCTGATATAGAAAAGGAAACAACTGTGAGCAGGAACAATATTGGGAAAAGCACTTGCTGCTGTGAACATAAGTAATACAGCCTCTCAAGAAAGCCAGGACACCAATCCCGAAAACTCTAAGAGAGAGGGGGACGTCTAAAACCGACAATAATGATTACCTGTCTAAGCTGCAACTCTGACATGTTGAAATGTAGGTTCCCTACATACAGCTTCCTATCTACAGGGCCAGTACCTATACCACCCGTAGTGGTGTTAGATTGAGCCAAATTCTTTTCCGCTTCAGAGGGCTTAACCATCACCGGTTGCCCAAGAAACATTTGTCCAGACAGAGCTATAGCCATTGGAACTGACATCACATCATAGAACTCTATATACCTGCAAGTCCACAACAAAGAGAGATACTTGATTTCAGGCACACATATGACAGATATATCAGGAAAAAAACTTACAAAGCATGTAGCAAAGAGAAGTTGGAAACAAAAAACTTTAGTGCGGGGATTCAAGCTGAGTCTCTTTTGGTGGGTTGGAGGCCTAGAGTAATATAGAAAAAGTTAGCCCATCATGATAAAGAACAGTAGTTAAATCTAAACAGTAATGGAGATAGAAGTAAGCTCCTCCATCAGTGAATGTCCCAACCAGAGGACTGGGAAAGCACCAAAGACTAGGAGGAAACATCAAACAAAGAATCTGGATAAGAGTGATAGCTAATGGTTTCCCTCCTTCCTGATCTCGCTTGCAATGGAAAGTAACAACTGAAATAGGATTCAGGTTTTCTGACAACTACCTTGACCACGCAGAATTGATAAAACAAGTGTGCAAGGTATTGCCATCATCCTCATCATTATCGCATTGCTAGTGCATCTAAGAATACATTTAAATCGAGTTCTTGAAATTGCAGAGAAAACTGAATATGCAGAATATTACGTACCAAGTGCACATACACAAAACTCAAGCTTAATAGAAACGGAAAGCAAAACATACCCGACCCCTTTTGACCGTCTTGAATTTCTGTCCATGATCAATCGCACGTCCCTCACCTGAAATTATAAGGAAAAGAGGACATTAGGAACAAAGACGAAACAGACCCTAAGAAAAAAAAAAAAAAAAGAGAGAAGACATTTGACGAAAACAGTAAGACCAGTAAAAGAAATCAAAGAGCAAAGATAGCAGAGATTTGATAAAATCAGCTCTCTGCAGTATGCAAGAGAGATCTAGCCATCTAGATGTAAAATCACACAAATAATTCAACAGTGAAGAACAATAAGCGGTATTCATTTCTACATTGTTAAAGACAACCAATCACTTAACCGGGAACAAGTGTATAACCTTTTTAATTACAAGACTCATAGGGTAGTATTAATACCTTCCTACAATCTAAACTAGCTAAAACCGGAAAAAAAAATTGGAAAGGCACAGAGTAACTGACCTTGCCGGCTTTGGAGAAGAACTCATAAACATCTCTCTCAGAAGCTTTAAGAGGCATCTGTTAATTACAAAACAAGATAGGTTGGCTTCATCAGTAAAACTTAACTGTGTGGATTCTTTTTCCACAATCATTACTAACCCAATGTTTAAGCATCTACCTGATATGCAAAAACCGTTCTCTGGTCTCTCTCTGGATCTGCTTCAGGCTCATCTTTCTTGTCCTTGAGTCTCCTGCAATCGTTTAAAAAGTTTCCGTTAGTTGTACTAAACCTGATCTCTGAAACGACTGAAGAAAACTCAATGGAGCTTTGCATCATTATATATAAAGCATAACAAGGAACAGAATCCAACAAACCTGCTTCCTCTTTCCACTAATTCGCGTTCCCTCTCTTCCCTCCGAGATCTACTGCTGCTTCTCCTCTCCCTCTCCCTTCTCTCTCTCTCCTTCTCCCTCTCTCTTCTCTCTCTGTCTCGGGTTTTGTCCCTATCGCTCCTGTCTCTCTCCTTGCTACTCCTCTCCCGATCGCTCTCTTTATCTCTCGATCCTTCTCTAACCTTATCCCTCTCTCTCTCCTTGTCTTTCTCACGGTCTCTGTTACTGTCCCGGCTGCTCCTGTGCCTCTCTTTCTCCCGATCCCTCTTACCTGAACCATTCTCTTCGCCGTCCCCCCGAGACTTCTTACTCCGACTGCTCCCACGCTCTTCGTCGCCGTCTTCTTCCTCATGCCTCTCTCCTTCTCTCTTCCTGTAACTCTTCTCGCTCTTCTCGTTACCGCTCTCTTCCTTCCTCCTATTCGATCCATCTCCTTCCTCAACCGTCTTCTCCAGGTACTCGTACTCGTCAAACTCCATTCTCGTCAACGATACGGCAATTTCGTCAATGAGGGTTTTTGTTAGGGTTTCGAATCGGAAAGAAGCGAGTAAAGGGAATTGGGAATTTAGCTCCGCCTGTTCGATCGATATCTAGAGAGGATGGCGACAATTCGTAAATTCCAAACAATCTCGAGGTTATAAACGGTACTGCAAAACCAAAATCAGCAACATTAGAATTGGGCCTAAAATAGTACCAAGAAAGGCCCCTTTCTCTAGATTGTTTTGTTCTCTCGCTAAGTGATTTCAAACTATGATAATTCACCAACAACACTACAAATTTAAAAAAAAACAAATGGCTGATGAAACCAATCAGTGGCAAAAAAACTCCAATAGTGTACAAAAACCATACTACAATTTTTTCAAGTCTTGTCAAGGAAACACTTTCCCACACAAAGATGCTAATAACTCAACGAAGATCCCGAAAGTTCATGAAGATCATCACTAAAGGCAGCAAATGTTCAAGGTCTGAGAGCGGCTTTGTGAACCATGGTTTCCTTGTGAATTTGGTGGCAACTCTTCTCAACGAGATCCAAAAGCTTCTCCAAATTCACTGCCCACGAGTTGAGAATCTCGTTGCTGTCCTTCGCGATCTGGAAGCACACGATTCCTGATGGTCTGTCTATTTTTGCTATCAGCGCTTTCGACACAACCATCTCCGAGAGATGCTTCTCCGCCTCCTGAAATTGCGATTACCAGCAAAAAACAATCGTATGAATAAGGAGCTTAAGAAGTAAAAGCATGTGATATATATAACCAGTGAGATTGGATCATACCTCAATGCTCAGGCATAATAGCTCCGCAAGTCTCTTTAGGGTTATCCTTGAGTAATACTTTGAGACAACGAGAATATTCTGCGGAATTATACAGAGGAAATTAAAAAACATTAATAACGGCATCAAATCGATTTAACCAAAGCCTTAAGATTAAATTAAGAGACTTACATGTTCAATGATTCTCAGTTTCAGATCTTCACCAGCTTTGTCTCCCAAAGAACCTCCAATCATGCTTTTTTCTTTCTCAAACTCATCCTTGTATTTGTTCCACAGAGATGTCCATTGAATAACCTCCATTGTCACTACCTGTTTTAGAAGCATCCTGAACGAATAATATAAAACACAAGAGACTGCTCACAACCCATATGAAACCGAAAGAGTAACGAAAATCCAAAAAAATTGGAGAAAGAAAAATACTTGAAATCAGGAATCTCTGATAGATTCTTGTCTTCCAAAGTTGCATTGAGCAAACTTGACTGCATTGGATCATGAGGTGCCAAGACCAAGAACCAGCAGATCTTCCTCAGGACCTAGTGTTTGAAGATCACAGAGAAGTTATTCTAAGTTAACAATAAAATGTATACTAACTACTAAGCATCCGATCAATGGTATGAGCCTTACTGGAACCCACTGCTCTGGTGATTCTTTTACAGAAGGGATATCATATATCGCCTTGTAGCTTCGGCAGATTTCAATGTATTCATTGTTATGAGTATAATACCTACATGGTTGAATTAACACATATAGATATCAATAAATATAATTTAAAATGCCCCAATAATCAAACATGGTACATCAGAATTAAGCGGAACAATATAAGGAGAAGTCATTTCATAGATCGTTCGCCAGAGACAAAAAAAAAAGAAAAAAACTTATAAAAATCGACACAGACCAGGAGATTCATCTAAATTTTGATACTGTACATTAAGATCAATTTGTAATATATCTCTCTGAGAAAATCATAGCAAAGAAATGAGTCGCACATACTGATAGAAGAGAGGGAGAGGATGGTACTTGATTAAATAACCATATACGAATTAACATGCTAGGACAACTGATGGAAATACAAATCAAGAACAATGTATTAAAGAAGCACAAGGAGGCCTTACCGAATCATTAGCTCATAGTAAATTCGCTTAAGCTCCAACAAGGTTGGTATATCAGCAGGAGCCTCCTCTACCATGTTGTCACCTTCCTTAGCTTTCTTCTTATCTTTTTTGGTATCCACATCAAAGACTCTAGGATTGATCTTCCTAGCTAGGATTTGTGCACGAACATAATCTTGACGATCCAAGCACAAGCGGACCTTTGAGGTTACACAAAATTAGTTAGCACCACAAATGAAAAAAGCCAGTAAATATTATACTAAAACAAGAATATAGCAAGTCCTTACTTGTTCAAGGATAAATGCAATTTTCTCAGTTTTTGCCATAGCGCCAAAAGTCTCCACCTGTTATTCATTTTCACATTGCAGGGATTAACTAGGAAAAAAGATTTCTAGGAGTAGCAAAAGACTGAGAAAGCTTACAGCAACTTCTTGCATAAGATCTGCAGCCTCAGCAATCTGACCCTGGTTTTCCTTAATCTTAGCAAGCTTCTTTGTCAGACGAGCCCTCTCTATTTCAACATATATCTGTACACGTGGAATTCAATTGCAAACAATTACACAAAATGGTGAAGATATTATGAGCATACCACCATCAGTTTCTCAGTTCCTCACCTTTCCAGCGGACACATTGTTCAGCGTCTTAATAAGCTCTATCCGAGTTTCTATGTCTGGAGTCTGCTCGATATACTGCATCGCTTGCTGCACCATGGATTGCACAGCCTGCAAATGGAGAAGTTCACCCAAAAAAAAAATCACTTTTATTTTTCACTTTGAATCGTTTACTTTCAAATTAGTTCTGAATATGTAAAAGTTAAGCTAATTAAGATAGCAGACCAATAAAACACCAAAAGCAAAGTAAAACCAACGAAACACTGACAATGGAACTAAAGTTTAGTTTTAAACTGAAGCAAATATAACCATCACTAGCAATGACCCAATTTGGCATCAATACTTTAGTCAACAGGGAACTTTTAAGTTGGGTAAGACCGTAAGAATAAAACAAAATCATAGGAATCACAAAAGCAACCTACTGACAGCTCAAAAGCCACTAAGATAAGTTTGTGTAGAACATAAAAGGCGAATCCCCCATAATTTTGTGCTTAGTTCTTTATCTATTTCGAAATTAGGGTTGCCAAACACTAGTCCTATGCAATTCAGAAGTCAAACGAAGAAGAAATCACAATAAGTATTCAAACAAAATGCAACCTAACAACAACCCCTTCAAATTTTCAAACGAACAGGAACATCCAAGCTGAAAATCCATGGTCCCTACGAGCTCAATCGACAAACTAATAAGATCACAGTCGAAGTACCTGTTTAAGCTGACCACGTTTCTTGGAGAGATTGAGAATCTGCTCGTTCAAAAGTTTCCAGTCCTTGGCTTCGAAACATAGCTGCAGAATCTCAGTAGCGGCTTTCCTTGTACCGGCGACATTCTCAGCCAGTCTCATCTGCTTCTCTTCGTTCAGAAGCCGATCTATCGACGCCTCGAGTTTCCCGCTCTCTCCCTGAAATCCACACTACAACGGAATGAGAAGCAAAACTGGGAAAAAAACTAATATCAGATCTGAGTAATCGAGGACTCACCATCGCGAACCCACAACGAATCAACTGAGAGCAAGAATATTTGAAATTCCGGTGACGGGACGGAGAAACTTTAGACTCTAGAGAGAGAACGCGATAGAGAGAGAGATTTGAGAGTTTCTGGAGTTTGCCGAATAGAAGAAAATCGCAGAGTCCCAACCCCTTGAACAAGAAAGCTCAGATTCTTCTGCCGATAATCTTCTTCTTCTAATGGGCCACTAGTGGGCTCATACTATGGTTCCTCGTCAAACTGATTGGTTTGATATATGCTATAATCCGGTTTACTTGTAAGGTAAAATTTTTGTAAAGTACCGAACCGATCCCGTCGATTGAACAACTTGAGCATGAATAGAAAACAAATCTCATCAGGACAAATTAAACACATGAATAGATTGTACCGCCGGTCTTTATTCTTTTATTTTCAAGAGACGCTAACCAATTAAAAAAACAAATTGAGCCTAATAAAAACAAATTAAATAACAAGATAAATATGTATGTATAAATAATTAAATATTGTTATATATTCTCAATCCTTAACAAAATAGGATTGTGAAAGTACACTATATATATATATATAAAAAAAACAAACAAACAAAACTTTGTTGTATCTAAACGATGAAGACGAGGGCGGGGACGAGGACGGAGATGGTGGTTAATAGCGAAGAAGACAAGTGGAGGCCGCACTTTGAGCTTATATCGAAGTTCATTGTAGAAAAGCTAAGTCCATCCAAACGAGAACAATACTTCAACTTGATGAAACTATATAGGTCCCAGTGTATGAAAGGAGACGAACTCATAAGGTATGTTCTGATTTTGTTTGAAGAAGACGAGTGTCTTTCTAGAATGTTCAGCACACTTATGGGAGAAGAGATCCGAGAATTGAACAAGAATGAAACTCGCATACCAATCGCTGCTGTTGAACAAGGAGCTGAGAGAGTTAGGAAAAGGAGTAAATCAAAGAATGATGATGATGATGAGACTGGAGAAGGTAAAATTGGAGAGGAGCATCGTCGTCGTCGTGTTCGTGGACGTCGTTGCGAGGTTGGCGGTGAAAAAGCAGATATACAACCAATTAAGAAAAGACGCGAGTATAGACTTGGGCCTACTGGACCAACGTTGGGCCCTGACGGATTTAAATCAGAAATAAACCAAAATTGCTCCACCCAGAAATAAACCAAAATTGCTCTATCTCTACAATCCGCAACCGTTTTGTTTGCTCAAGCTTCAGAGACTCTAACCCGTCCCGAGACTCTTGACTTCTCGGCCATGGTTCCAAGTATAGATGATGATTCTTCATCGACAAGATTAATGTGTTCAATTTGTTTCCTTGATGTGATATAGGCTGATTAAGATACTATGGTCTATGGGCTAGTCCCAAAAAGACCCGCTGGGTTTGTATTATGTTTTCCTCATGCATTTTATAATTTGAAAACCTTTGGTCAAAAATTTAAACCAAAATTGCGGTAAGTAAAACTTCAAATCTTTCTTGTATGAAAAATGTTGATGTGGAATGTGATTTGATTTTGATGTACCTTGTAGCAAAAACTAAGTTTTATGCTCTTCAATACACAAAATATTACTAATTTACGTGACGTACCAAAAATTTATTCAAAAACTAAAAAGAACATGTTAAATTTCATTCAAACATGAAATCAAAGCATTATTATTTACTTTAGGGTCTTCAGTTTTTCTATTGCTATTTTGTTATCTTGCTGATTAACTTTTTGGTTTTTCCTTTTTTTACCATAGAGTTCGCTTTATAAAAAAAAAAAAGGAACAGGATAAATTTCATTCAAACAAATTGCTTCATTGTCGTAAAATTCTCTTCGCTTCCATTGTTAGACGGAGAAAAAGAAAACAGTAGAGAGAAAAAAATCCCTAGGGCTAAATTTTCCGCATTCGTACTCCCATGTCTGGAGAAGAAGAAGAGAACGCCGCCGAACTCAAGATCGGAGATGGTATATCCCTTTCTCCTCCTTAGCCGTCACTATTTTCCCGTAAATTTAGGGTTTTTTCTCTTCATCGAATTGATCTTATAGAAATTTATCGAGCTTTCATTTTGGAATCCTCATTGAGCTTGCTTATTTTTTGGAGATTTCTCACTGAAACTTATTGGTTATATTCTTTTGACTATAGAGTTTTTGAAGGCTAAGTGCTTGATGAACTGTGAAGTCTCTTTGATCCTTGAGCACAAGTACGAACAGCTTCAGCAGGTCTCTGAGGATCCTATGAATCAAGTTTCTCAGTAAGTATCTATCAGTTTGTGTTTCATGATGATAATAATCACTGTAAATTAGCAATCAATAAATAATAGAGCTTTCGATCTCGGGGACTTACGAATTTGTAGAATTTACCAGTTTTTGATATTTGATTAGATTGAAGCATATTACTTGTAGACTATTGAGTCTCTCTATTAGACTAGTGTTTATGCCGATTTCATTATCAGGGATTAAAAATCAATATTTTCTTGTTGTTGAAGAACTTATTTTTTCTCATTGCAGAGTGTTTGAGAAGTCCTTGCAATATGTGAAACGATTCAGCCGCTACAAAAATCCAGATGCTGTTCGACAAGTTCGAGAGTATCCTCTTTGCAAAATTAGCTCATTTGTCGTTTTAACCAATGGTTGCTTTGACATGCTTGCATCTTTATTTGAGAGACCTAATATTATGAGAATCTCCATGGTGTTACAGCATTTGCATTTATTCTTAGCACTGAACGATGAATCAGAGTTTACAATCGTTGGTTTAATTCTGTAGTTTTGTGCGAGTATGCCATTTGATTTGATGTTAACATGATTTACCTTAACTCAACTTTCACAGAATACTGAGCAGACATCAACTCACCGAGTTTGAGGTAAGATGAGATGTCAAATCTTTTGAGATTGGATTCCTGTCGTCAACTAAGTCTATTCGACAGAAGACTTTAATCTTTGCATTGGTCGTTATTGAACAGCTCTGTGTTCTTGGCAATCTCTGTCCTGAATCTGCTGAAGAAGCAGTGGCAATGGTTCCTTCTCTTAGGGTAAAAATATTCTACTTTTCTATTCAGTGGAGATTTAATACCTGAATGTGATAAATAACCTTGCTTATGTCAGTGAGAATTTTGAGATGATGTAAGCCTCTCTTTTGTGTAGACAAAAGGAAGAACTCATGATGATGATGCAATTGGCAAGATGCTTGTTGATCTCTCCCTTGTCAAGAAATTCGAGTAGTGCATAATTCTCAAGATCTAAGATGAGGAACATGTTTTCAGGGTCTTATTTCTAGCTGATGTGTGATCAAATATCACTGGAGTTAATGTTTCAATGTCTAAAATATCAAAGTTGTCATGGCCAGGATCTCTGGAATGGATGTAATTTAATGGATGATCCAAGCTTTCAATAAAATATCATACCATATCTTTTTACTAAATCGAGTTATTGATAACATCATTATACATATACTATATATATATATATACTATATGATACCTAAAGCTACGTGTGAAGGTTCGATTCCATCTCTTGGCATGTTTGCTGGACTTCAACTTCTTTTTGGAGGTTTGCAATGCTTTTATCTTGTGCTTCTTCCGTGCTTCTCTCCAAGCACACCCTTTCTCTAGCTTTAACATTCTTCTCCATGTAATACTGTCTACATACACTTAAACCTATGTGCGCGGCTTTAGTTCCATCTCTTGGCATTTTTGCTGGATTTTGACTTCTTTTTGGAAGCTTGAAACGCTCTCATCTTTTGCTTCTTCCGTGCTTCTCTCTCAGCCTTTGACATCTTTGACTTTGCTTTCGCTTTTGGAGCTTTTTCCTCCAACTCTGCTTCTCTCTGTAGCTCCCTTTCTCTAGCTTCCACATTCTTCTCCAGGTAATACTGAGAAACATTTCAAGTTACACAAATCTAGAATGAACAAATTTGGCGAATGTACAGAAGAGGGAAAATAGGAAGAGAATTTGTTTACATTGTAGTCTCCTGCATAGTCCTTTAAACCACCATCTCTGACTTCAATAACTCTATTAACTATTTGTTTAATGAAGTATCGATCGTGTGAGACTGCGATGACCGTGCCTTTGTACTCGTTTATTGCTTCCTGATGATGAGAGGAGGAATCAGAGGGTCAAAACTTTCTCAACCTCCAATAACAGTTTTAGCCACAACTGAGAAGAGAAAAGAGTATGATTAGAAACCTCAAGCATTTCTTTTGAAGGTATATCTAAGTGATTGGTGGGTTCGTCTAACACGAGTAGAGTGGATGGTTTCACCATGAATTTGCAGAAAGCAAGGCGTGCCTGCGACCGCAAGAAAAATAGCGATGAAGAACACCAAAGGGACAATGTAAGTCTTACTGGGAATGAAATAGGCATTACATTACTTTACCTTCTCGCCACCACTCAAAAGAGAGACCTTTCTATCCAACATGTCAGCTTTGAAGTTGCAGCGACCAAGAAGACCTTTTATATCATCGATTCTCCAATCTACAGCAGCTTCAACAACCGTCTCAATCACAGTTTTATCCAAATCTAAAGCCTCTGCCTATAGCCAACAAGTGAGTAAAACCGTAGTTCTGATTTCTTTATTAAAACCCTTTCTTCATAATAGAACAAACCTGATTCTGCTCGAAGTAGTTTGGCAATACATTGTGCTCCCCGAGAATCACTTCACCTCTCATAGGCTTCTCCAAACCCATAATCAGTTTCAGTAATGTACTTTTACCGCACCCGTTTGGACCAATAATAACGATTTTCTCTCCTCTTTCTATCGCTAGATTTGCCTTGTTAAATAGCTTCTGCTTGCATCATACACGGATCAAACCATGAGGCCACAAGTAACACAAGGAATTTCCAATTCTAATTCTATTGATCTCACCTTATCCTCAAAACCAAATTCAAGATTCTTGACAGTGACTACAGATCTTCCGCTTAATCCACATTCTGGAAACCTAATTTTCATTTGTTTCCGCTGAAACGGCTTCTCTATTTGTTCCTCTTCTTGGAGCCTCTCAAGTTTCTGTTCATAAACAGAATCAAAATAAGTAAGTTTCCATACATACTCTGTTTCATAAGTAGTATTACCTTTTCTGCTGAAGAAGCCCGACCGGAGTTTCCTCCAGAACTTAGTCTACTGATCAAATCCTTTGTTGCTTCAATCTCTTTCTGTTGCTTCTCCCAGGCAGTATACTGAGCTTCGAACCACTCTGCCTTTGAAATTACATACTGAGAGTAATTACCCTCGAAAGTCCTCGACACGCCCATTTCAGTTTCAACGATTTTGGTACATAGCTGATCAAGAAATGCTCTGTCATGGGATATTATAACCATTGGCACTTCTTGTTTATTCAAGTAACCTTCAAGCCACTCAATAGTATCAAGATCCAAATGATTCGTTGGCTCATCCAAAAGCAGTAAATCCGGATTCTGTTCACATAATCACTCACATTTAGCTACCTTCAAAACAAGAATCACATTCCTCAGGTTTAATCATTCGTTACCTGAAGCAAAATCTTCCCAAGTGACATTCTCATTTGCCATCCACTGCTAAAAGAAGCCACAAGCCTATCTGCATCCTCCGACACAAACCCTAATTCCGACATCAGCTTACTGATCTTCGCATCGACAGAATCCAAATCAGCCTCTTGAGCTCGTCTCTGCAACGAATCGAATTCGTCGAGTAGCCTTCCCATTAGTTCTAAATCATCAACAGCTCCTTGTATCGCCTCCTGCAAATTATCCAGCTTCCTCGCTATCTCCATCTCTTCCTTAAGCACACTCATGAACTCTTCCTTCACGGTCTTGCTCATCGAAACCTCGAATTCCTGACTCAAGAATGCGGTTTTCAAATTGGGTTTGGCTCTAATCACGTTGCCCGAATCGGGTTCCTCTTGACCCGTGATTATCCTCAGCTGTGTCGTCTTGCCCGCACCGTTGACGCCGATTAGCCCTACTTTCTCACCTTTCTTCACTTCCCAGTTCACATCCTTGAGCACCGTCACGCCTTGGTAGCTCTTGCTTATGTTTTCAAGCCTCACTCCCGACGAAATCGCAGACGCACCGTTGTTTGATTGCTTACCGTTCAGCTTCCGATTGTGATCTTCGGACGAGAAGAGTGATTCGAGCTCATTCACCGAGGAATTGGAGCTCAAGGAAGGCACTTGGGCTCTGATATTGGGGATTTCTCGTCTAAGGTTAGAAACAGAGGACAGTTTTAGGGTAAATGGTGGTGTTGGGCAAGGAAGGGGACTAGTGAAGAAGGTAGAACCAAGGTTTAGGCTATGGAGATTCGTCGTTAAGCTCATTTTGAGTAAACCTGTCTAATTGTAAACATCAAAACGAACAATTCCGATTGTTAAAAATGTCGTTTTTGACAACAAAACTGAACAAACAATCCAGAAGTAGTAAACAACGACTCTCGAGGCTTCTGTAGCGTGAGCGAAGAGTCTTACGAACACACACGCATGTGAATTCAGGGCTCATAAATTACCACGTGTCAAGTCAGAGTATGTCCAAAATCATTTCCTAAATTGGATTAATAAATAACTCCAATATCTAAGGTAATTAATTTATAGCTATATCACTCTTAAGACTTCATCAGTCTAAATATTATATTTCCCTGGTTAGAATGTTTAGTCACCTTATATACAGATATATGGTGCAACTGAATCAACTCCAGTAATCACAAGCTAGAAAAGAATAAATACACTTTCCATCACAATTTAGGTCATTAAAGTAGAACACTACAAAAATTTGTTATAAATGTATATGTATAACCTCTAGTTATCTAATACTATACATTTTGGCTTCTTATAAGAGAGACCTCACATTTCTTAAATCTTCTACATCGTTCTCGATTAACAATTTTCACAAAATGATGAAACTCATGGACGGGTTGGCTTTGGCGTGAAAGATCTTACTTTTGAGGTAAATGTTTATTCTAGTATACCCACCAATTGTGAAAACAAACAATTCAATCACTTTCTTTTTTCTCAAAAAAAATAAATGTAATTTTCTCTTTGAGCAGAGCATTTTTTTCTCAAGAAAATATAAAAATGTACCAAGAAACTCTGCAGTTTTATCATCTGTGGAGACTTGCTGTCCAAGAAAGAGACGAAGCAAGGGAACATCTGATACATTCACTCGCCGAACTCTCCCAATTACGCGAACTCTTAAAGACTGTTTCGTTGTCCGAAGAACAAACAAAACCCCTTTATTACTCAGAGACCAAAGAGGAAACCACTGTTCATAAAAATTGGAGTTACGATCATTTCTCCATCGCGATTCTCGTCTGCATCGCCGCAGGATTTGTTCTCCAACCTAACTGTTAATCCCTCGCCGGAGATGTGCGATTCTGATTGTTACAGCTTCCCATCGAATCAGTTGGGTTTTATTGCTGAGAACAGGATAGATTTTGAGACCTATGTGCTAGAGATTATTGGAGGAGTGTTGCCGGAGAACGGGAAGTTTTTGCAAGCCGTCGGTGAAGCTGGATCGTTGGTTGACTCATTGTTCATAACCGGTCTGGTTCCGAAATGGAGAAATCTTCCGGTTCAATTGTCGAGTCAAAGTCCGGTTCTAAGTTCCTGATATAATATCACTGGAAATTGGAACGATGGTGGTTTGCAGTTTGGTTCGGGTATCATAAACCAGGTTTTCCGGTTTGATGTCTTAAGTTCCGCATGCAATTTATTCGGTTCGGTACATGCAATTCTTATAAGCTCAAAATAATAATTTGTTTTGGTTAGCCAAAGAGAGAGACAATAAGTGTCCATCCCAGTCGTGTAACTTTCAGTAACTTTTTGTTGAACTAAAATTATGCTTCTAAACAAGAATTTAATGGTTGCAAAAACTTAAAATAATGGGGTCAACATTTATAACCGAGTATCATTTGATGTAGTAAGTACTCTTATGCCCCCACTAAGAGTCTTTTATTTCGCCAACACCCAAAGGAGAGAGAGGATAAAAATCCTCAATGGCATTATCGTGATTATCAGACACTTCCTCGGACTTTCCGTAATTGTTTATTGTTACATTATTATTGGCCATGAAGAAAAAATGGAAATAAAAAGTAGGGACCCTAAAAAAGTACTACTTTGATTTGATATAAATGGGTCGAGCTGTTGTTTTGCTGTAATAATTTCACAATCTTTTATTTTTCTTATACTTGAATGATTCTGTCTCTCCAGCTACTCTTCGGCTAGGATCATATCGGAAAAATCTAAACCAAACAAAAAAAATCAGAAGCAGGACTAATCTCTCCGTTTCTCTCTATTATCTTTACAGATTTTGGATCATATGGAGGAGGATCGAAAAGAGGTATAATCGTCTTCTTCTTCATCTGTTTTCTCTCTTTTCTGTGTTGCTTAGTTTCCCGAGAAAATTTCCTGCGGGAAATCTTGTTTTGAACTATGAAATCGAGATCTGCTTGTTTTGTTGTGCCGTTTGGATCTTGTCGGGAATCGAACATTGGGTTTTAGACATTCTATACAGCTCCCAGTACTACTGATACTGTTGTAGTGACGATTTGATTAAAGTCAGCATCTGGGTTATCGGAAACAAGATTGAGTAACTTCTAAAGTTTCTCCCTTTTTTCGAATCTTGGAAGCAGAAATTTTGTCATTACGAGGTATTTTAGTTTTGAATTTCTTACTCGGTATTTTCAAACTTTCGGTAACCTTTATTGGATTGATAAAGAAGATCCTACTTTGCCCAGATTTTTCTCGATCATTGACAATTTCCATTAAAATTTGATTAGTAGTATTTTTTAAAGCTTGGAAACGGTCTAATAAAGTCAAGAACTTTGCCTTTGTTTTCTCATCTAATTCGTCTTCCTCCTCCTTTTTCACGATGCATCGCTTTGTAAATTACTCTGTTTTCTTATTTTTTTAAGAATATGCTTCAAATTATGATTTTTCTCTAAATTGTGGTTTTTTATTTTGTTATGGTTTGCAGAAGAACTCTCCATGGCTAACAGTGCCACAGTTTGGTGATTGGGACCAGAAAGGAGGAGGAACAATTCCTGATTATTCAATGGATTTCACTAAGATTAGAGAGATGAGGAAACAGAACAAGAGAGACCCTTCTCGAGCCAGTCTAGGCAACGAGGAAGAGCTCATTAAGCCACCCGAGTCAGCAACATCAACAGAACCAACCGCTAAGCTCACGACGGTCCATAGCGAACACTTCTCTCCGACCCACCATCACCAACCACACTCTCCTTCTGTAAGATTCCAAAGCTTTTTTTTGAGTCTTTGATTTTATTGTTTCAATCACATATATTATTTTGCATTTGCGGTTTTATTATACAAATCATTCTTCTTTTCTATTTGCATTATCATCATTATGTCATCTTATAGGATGAGGCATTAGCACAGGGTTTTATCTATATTTTAGGGTCCAATTTTGTTTTTGTTTTTTTTTGCTGGAGATATTTATATTTACAATTTTGAATATAGTATTATTGAGCCGGTCTTGATTTGAATTTTAACTATGAAGCTAGATAAGAATTTGGTGTGGTTGTTTGAAACAGACGAGGAGAAGCATCTTCAGCTGCTTCAACTGCTGCGTGAAAGCTTGAAGGATTCTTCTTTAGCAAAGGAGCAGTTTATATATTGACGTGTGATTCGAATATGAAAATGTAATGTGATGACACTTTTATATATGTTCGAATCCATTTGTCTCTCTTTTTTTATATGCATATAGCTCTACTACAAGAAAAAGGTATTAGGGAACACTGATCCGACTAGTATTGCTTAACCTAATGCAAAACGTGGACACTGATCCGATTTTGAGTATCACTGACCACTCCAATACATATGGCAAATGGCAGGTTTCAGAAACATCAAGGCTCATTGGTCCGAACTTACTAGAAATGAAACAAATCATTTATCTGGAACATTTTGTAGAGTGATTGAAAATTGAAGTGCAGTAAAATTGGATTTATTGTTTAGCATTTTGTGTTTTTATGGTGGGATACAAGTAGATATGTAATTATATATGAGTCCAAATAAAATCTTCTGAGTTGCATCTAGCTTGGACAAAATTTGAGGTTCATATATGTGCAGAAATTCAAAGGCCATTCAATGTCTCTTTAAAAACACAATGGGCCTGTTGAAAAGCAAAACAAAATGGCCACTGTTGAAAAAACAAAACAAAAAAAAAGAGCTCAAAATGTAGCCCAACAAGTACTGTTTCTTCAGGAGCTGTTCATGGATTCTGTCCAGACCCATTCCGCACTATTTCAGAAAACTTTTTTGGTTTTATTCCCAAACCACGAATGTATAATATTGGATATTTCTATATATATATAATATATATATATATATATAATACATACTGATTGTTTCTAATCATATTTAAGTAATCAAAGATAGCTTAAATGGAGACAGTGCAAGACCCGAAAGGTACGGGTGGTTCGAATAGTAACAAAATTGGATATAAGTTGCGTCGTTATAGATTATCGTGGCAATATATCGATTTAACCATAATGATTGTTTTTTTAGACTGTGCTCAACTCGACAACAAATCTAATCAAAATATTTATGTCATGCAAAAATCTATACATTTTGTTTGACATCTCATGTAAATATCTATTCATTAGAGGAAAAAAATGCACGTCACCGTCTCTGGAATCCTTCACCATCATCATAGCTCACTAAGAGCCTATTTAATTTTGTCCAGCAATTTTAACAAACTTTGTCTTGATTTGAGGTGAACATGACAAAGTTTAATCAGTTCAAGCATTGATGTTGACTTCCAAATTTTTTTCCACCGACAGATCAAACACACCAAAAGTATTGTGTGGCTCCATCCCGATAAGTGTGATGTCATTGCTCTGTGCTATTGTTCTGTGTGTTAAGTGTTCAATGTTATCCCACGGGGGTTAGATATAGATAATTAACTGTTATTGCTAATTATTTTAATCAAATGGTTGGTTATCACAATGCCGAAGTCTATCACCCTTACATGTAGAGTTAATTATTAATTAGAAACACCAATTCGGAAAAAAATTAAAATATGTTTTTGCATTATGCATAGGCATGCATGTAGACTGCAGTGTTGCTCCGACCTGATCAAGTATATAATGAATGCCTTTCATTTTCCATGCACCTAGATGGGTTGGGTTCTCTACGTCTCTACCCTTAAAGAGAGCTTCTCACATTTTCTTTCTAACTTTTAATTTTTCCTTCTTCGAATCATATGACAGGTTTGTTAGTTAATTAGAAAAAAACTAGATTTTGGATTTTATTTGTTTGTTTGTAGGTTCTTTTCCACTGGTTTAACTTGAAATTTCTGTTTTCTATTATTTAAGTTTTCTAATAATAATTGACAAAGAAAAAAACAAAGAGGATAGAGATAACCTGGCCATAACGTCGACGGTTTAAGATAAAAAATTGCTGTGAACTATTCTATATGGACAACAACACAAATTCATAAAATTTATGTCTAAATACATTAACGACAAGACATCGTTTGAATTGCCTCATTGTCCTCACTTATTACAAAATGACAACGTATCTTTGGGATATAAATTACCAAGTAGATGCACCAAATTGATCAAAATCGTCCAAGTTATAATTAAAGCACAACCATCTCAGTGTTTTGTCCACGTCCCATTGGGGTTTGTTTCTACCGATTCTAAAATATCTAGTTTTCGCAAGCAAACAAGAGCAAGTATTTTGATTTGTATGTAGAGAAATATATAGGGAAATTAAAGTACGTAGACAAAGTCCTAACAAGAACTCGGTTTATTAAGTCCCACACTAAGGTCTAAGGATAACGATACTACACATCAAACCAAATTACTACATCAACTAATTAAAGTTAAAACGGAAAACAACCAACAATTCAAACATCTCTCCACAAAACAGAAAGAAAACGTACGATACATGGAAATTATTATTAGGATAAAAAACACACACATTGACAAAAGTCAAAAACCCTAACTTAGATTTCGGTTACAACGGCACGTAACGGATGCTCCATCTCACAAGAAAGCTTCAAGACCTCATCGAGCTTAACCGGATTGGTCTGATCCTGACTCCACTCGAACCGTTGCACCAACTCAGCCACCCAACGAGTCACAGTAGCCAAAGCCATGTTCTTCCCCGGACACACCCTCCTCCCGGCTCCGAACGGCGCAAGCCTTAGATCCCCACCACGAATGTCCACGTCACCATTCTCACTGAACCTGTCCGGGTTGAATTTCAACGGGTCGGACCATACCACCGGGTCGTGCGTAATGGCCCACATGTTGACCATTGCCGTAGTACCTTTTGGAACCACCATGCCGTTGCTGAGCTGGACATCTGACGTGGAAAGACGAGCCCACGATAGCAATGGTCCGGGAGGATGCAGCCTCAGAGTTTCCTTCACCACAGCAGCCAAGTACGGGAGTTTTGCCAGGTCAGCATCTGCCACGTCGGCTCGGTCGTTCACAGCCGTTTTGATCTCATCCCTTAGCTTGGCTTGCACGTCAGGGTTCAGTACTAGCTCGGCCATGGTCCACTCCGTTAATAACGCCGTTGTGTCTGTGCCTCGAAATATCATCTCCTATATACATTCATTAAAAATAATATTAATTATCACCAATAAATGCAAAAAAAAAAAAAAAACAACGTACTAGACCGTTATACACATATAAACCGTTAAATTAAACGTGACTATCATTCCAATTTCATGCGAAACTTACCCATAAAACGGCGATCATGTCATCTTCTTGAAGCTTCTCATCTCCGTCAAAAGATAACAAGACATCAACGAAATCTCCAATATCTCCTTTCTTATCCGAGTTACTGACTCTGTGTTCGTCGATGATTCTCTTGACGAGGGTTCGGATTCGAGGAACGAGTTCTGAGCAACGCTGGTTTACACGAAGCGGATCGTAGAAATAACCGAGCCATGGAAGATAATCGGACCAGTTAAAAGCACCCAAGAGCTCGAACCCTTCTGCAACCATTGATGTGAGATCATCAAGATCCTGATCCTTAGACATAGGGTCGTATCTCCTCCCAAAAACGCTCCCCATGATGTTGTTCAAGGCGGCTAGCTGCAAGTGTTGCCTCAAAACGACGGATCCGACGCCGTTTTGCTCCGCTGACACAGCTTTCACCATTTCGGCGCAGTCTAGCTTGCGCCCAGCTTCGTGTGCTAAAATCCGCCGAGGAGCGAATAGGTGATTCGAGGCGATCCTTCTTAACGTGCGCCAGTATGCCCCGTTCGGCGCGAATCCTATGGCTCGGCTAAACATGAGGCTCTTAGCCGATTGCTTAACCGGCCGGTCTGCGAAGTGAGGCGACATCAGAATTTCGCGAGCCGTATTCGGCTCAGAAGCCACGATAACCGGAGTCGAGCCGAGACTGAAAGCCATAATCTCAGTGTTAGCTCGGCTCCAAGCCATGGCGGCTAACGCCCTATGAGCCAAGCCGCGGCTGAGAGTGCAAAGACTGCCGAATACTGGTATGCCTCGAGGACCCGGAATCGTGACCCGACCCAATCGGTTACGGCCGTTCTTCCATGCGATGCCGCCACCTCCGGCGAGTGCCCACGTGAGTAAAGATAGAGAAACGACGGCGAGGAGTAGATAGCCGAGGATGGAAACATCGTGTAGGTTTTGGGATCCAAAAACGGCAGGTAGTGCGAGCATCCAGTAACTCGTTTCTTTTGATGCCAGATTCATCAACTCCATTTTGTATTTTTCCTTTTTTTGATTTGATATTTTTTTTTTCTTGTCAGATAATGAACAACGTACGAACCAATAATAACAACAACAAAAGAAGAAGAAGCAAAATATGTTTTTCTCTGGGAGAAATTATAAAATAGAGCAAGATTTTACGAGACGATCAAGGAAAGTACTCTTCTTTTGGGGGGGGTGGGGTGGTTAAAGTGAGAAGTACTTGGAGAGGAACAATGGAGAAGCTGAAGGTATATATAGAAAAGTAAAAGTATGTATATACCCACATGCATTTTTTGGCAGCGTTAATTAAATGCTTAATGCATGGGACGAGAGACGTCGGTTTTAAAATGATTATTTTATATATATATGTGTATAAATTAATGTTGATGTAAAATTTGATTAATTTTGGGAAAATGGTAAGGTTAAAATTGGGAGAGGATCACGTGGAGGGAGGAGGTGAGTCGCATGAATTGGTTTGGTGTTAAGATGAAATGAGAGATATGTGTGTGAGAGGGCGTTATGATAATGAATTCAGCATTTTTTATTTTAAATCTTAATTAATAAAATTATTTAATTTTTGCACCGTTTTATTTCTGGGGTTTTCTTGTTTGCATCGATGTGAGATAAAAGAATTTAATGAGGTTCGTTAAACCGAAAAATAATTTAATGAGTCCATATATTTCGGCTTAGATAGGGAATACGAAAGGACGAGCTAATGAATATGTTTTTTGTTTTAGAGAAAAAAAAAAAAGAATTTTAGTCGGTTATAGAGTGGGCTTTAGAGAGTTGTGACGACGAGAAATTTGCCCTATTTCATTTTTTTCTTCTATCTAAGAATTATCCTTATCTTTATTAAATTTTCTGTTTATGAACTTTTCTACAGAATTGCAAAATCGAGTTTGTAGTAAAACGAAATCACGATTCTTTTTATGAGAGTAAAAATACCTTTTTAAGAATCGTAGTTTTAATACATCTACATGCAACATTTCATATTCTACTTCACCATTTCTTAATCATGGTTCTAGCCTTCTACATTCCATGATATTTCGTTCATTTTGACGGTATATTCCTAGCTATATCTATAAAGTACTTAATACCATTTTTTCAATTCTAACCTTAGTTCTATGACAGCTCTGAATTTATCGATCGTTCAGCGATGAATTTCCATTTTTAATCGTCAAATCGTCACAAAAATATCAATAATCTATTAATTTGATATCATGTCACTAATCACAGTTCTGTTACAAAAAGTAGTGAGAAACATCGTTGGTTTTAATTAAAATTCGTTGTTGATCGCAACTCGCAAGTTTTTGTAGAGATAAAAAGGCAACCAACTCATAGACCACGATATCCAAATTCATAAAAGATGTCAAGTCTTCTTGGTTTCCACTTCTCTCACAATTTAACATATTCCAGACCCTCTTTATTTTTATCGTTCCCAACCTAAAAAACGTTCAAATTAATATCTAACTATTCGTTAATTAATGTCTAATCGAAACCACAACATGCAAAGTAATGTCCAATAAAACTTGTATAAAAACAGACGATTCATCCTATAACACACTTATATGCAAATGTTCATAGCTCGTTTATAATATGTAAAAGAAATTGCGTATTAGGAGTATTCAAACCTGATCGATGTAGAATATTGAACGAATGGCACTTTCACATTAAAAAAAAAAAAATTGCCTTTACGAGTATAAATAATTTAAAATACAAACAAAGGACCATCAAATCTCATTAGAAAACCGGTTAGCGAAACGTCTCATGCAATTTGTATGTTGCTTATTTCTAGCTCGCCGTTTACCGTTTGTTCCCAGATAATGTTTATGAATATATATTTATTTTTATTTTTTTAAAAAGCATAACAAATCGGTGAAAGTTAGAGGAACGCGTTGTGGAACCTTAGAGGCTGAGGCTGGCATGGCCCCAAATCATCCATTATCCATGTTAAACATATTAGGTGATAGGTTCGCATGTCAACAAATGTGAAAAAAAAAAAATACATCTATGGAAAATGGATTGCTTAATTAAAGAAAATAAAAAAGTGTGAATGGTGAAGAAGGGAGGTTTGGCAGGGGATGGGGTGGGTGGACAAATAAGAGTAATGATAGGAGACATGAACCATCCCAATGTCCCCTAAGTACTCAAAGTACATTGTACCTTTTTTCTCTATATATACACTACAAATTCGATCTTTGGTTTCATAATCTTTTAAGATTCAGGTACAACTGTTGATAATAGATGTAGATTTAAAATTATGTAATTCATGATAAGACTAAAAAAATGCATTTATTGGATTGAGCTAATCATATACTTGAATATATATTGAATTGTGGAGTTTATTTTCTCGGTGACCTTGTGTAGGTCTGACGACATGTTTTCACGGTTTTCAAACTGACCGTTTTAATTAAGAGCAATTTTGGATATTTCAGGTTTGCCTTTTTGTCGTATTATTTTTTCCCTCTTGTTTTTCTTTATAACGCAAATTCGTTTTTCATAGCGAGAAAGATAAAGAGAAAAAGTTTTGTAAACTCCCTTTTGATAATAGTGGAATTCAGCCGCGGTAATAATTTGATGTATCTCTCATATTAAGAATAAAGCCATGTACTATTGTACTGTTTTTCCTAATTTGGGATGTGAATCCTAATAAGTACACGAATTTTTATTTTAATTAGAACCAGTCTATAAGATTCTTCAACAAGTAGCTTTTAGAATGTTTCTCTATAGAACATGTGGGGGACTTCACTATGTATTAAATTATAATAAAGCAGTTTGTATGTGCATATCCAAAACCACAAATTGAGCATATCAATCATCTAGTAAACTTTTGTTAGGAAATTCAATGATGCGTGAGCGGACAAACCTAACCTCATTTCCAATGGTTACTTGTATTTTTTTTTCTAAAATAGAGGTGTATTTGTCTCCAATGGTTACCTCTATTTTTCCCTATAAAAAAGAATATTCTCAATATATTCTTTTTGTTATTTGTTCCTAACACCTTTTATTAATAAAATTTATGAATTGACCACACTTATTTTTTTACAAAAACTTACATAAATAATAATATACTACCTTTGATAAATAAAATTTGTGAATTAATCTTTTATTTTACTTTTTAAAAAGTTTTCTTAAATTATAGTAATAGTAACCTTTGACCACTACATTTTTTAAATTAATCTCATTTATGTTACTTTTTTATGAAAGTTTCAACATATTATAATAATACTAGAAGTTAAAATTCATAAATTAAAAAAAAAAATTCTGTTATTTTTCATTTATTTTTATGTATTTTTAATTTGCAATTACTTTTTGTAGTTTAATATCAATGAGAATTTTTATATTTAATAATATCATATGTTTTTTTAAACTATAACCAAAATTATCTCATTTATATTCATAAAAAATTATACTTTTTGTATAAATAGAAAGATTTAAAAGTTAAAGGACTACTTTACAAATAAAAAGGTTCATCTCTATTATAGAGGGAAAAAATAGAATCCCTCTATATTTGGAGGAAAAAATAGCAATCTTTATTTTAGAAATAAAAATACAGGTGGGTTGGAGCATAATCTCTATTTTCACCTCTAAAATAGAGGTGAGTTGAAAATGACCTAACTAGCATTGACGGTGGCTATGATTCAAAGGGCACGGTAGCTAAGGTAATCCCAACAAGCCCAAGATCGTATAATTAATGTCACAGCCTCACAGTTGAGTCAGAAATATCGTGACGTGAAGGATTCCAAGGAAAAAGTTATCTTATTAATTATATGTTTTGGCCTCACCGACAAGTTTCTATGCAATGTTTTCTCAAAACGTATCGGTGGAACCGTGGAAGATCAACAAGTTTTGAACGAGAGTCCGTCTGATTTGGTTGACAATTTGAACGATTCCATCCTTATGACATCTTGGAAGCAAGAACTAGAAATGGCTTTGGTCGTCCACATGTTCTGTATTGTGCACGGAAGGAAAAAAAGTAGAAACATGCATGATGATCAAGGAGAATAAATATTATACTATGTGATCAGATCTAAATTAAGCTAAGACTTTCACTCCTTATTAAAGTTGAATTCGTCTTATTTGCTTATTTTGTAGGCAAATATGTTAAGAATTCGTCTAATTTTTTATATTCTTGCAGAATAATTAACCATGCATGCATGCGCATTCTCTCGTCAGTAAACATAATTTTAATAAAAAGAATTCTTTTTAGTATAACGAATTATATGAAACAATCGTATTTCTCTGTCACTTACATTTCGTCCATCATCATAGTTTCAAAGTACACCAGCTCACAATTTGTGGTGGAGTTCTAATCGGCTAATCCTAAAATCTTTGGACCCTCAAAACCACTATCTCTCAAAAGGCACAATGTAGTGGGCCATCAATAATTATATTTATTTAACTCAAGTTTTATATTATTTTTCCGCCATTACGATCAAAAATTGTTTTCATAATTGTAACGAGAAAAAAAACCTAAGGCAGCTAGGGACTTGGGACTTGGGCCGTAACAAGACTAAACATATGATGTTGACCGTTGACAGATTTGTCATCTTTGCCACGTCTTCACGACTATGGGGCCATTTTTCATAATTTGTTGTGAGAATCGTTTTAACCAAATGGAAATTTGGAACGCTTAATTTAAGCGATATCTGTAATTTAAGCGATACCAGAAATCAACCAAAAGAAAGCCTAATATCACATGTATCGCTTAAATTACACATATGTTATTATAAATTTTTGTTTTCTCCTTTACATATATATATATATATATATATCGACTCGAAATGTATATTCTCGAGAAAAATGTATTTTTTTTAGATTTAATATGGTATATATAAGACCCCGCTCATCCAAATGAATATGTAAGTTAAGATTTAGACTTAACCTAAATTGTACTACTATTTTAAACGTCGCCGCCATGTATAACCTTAAGTTTATTGCAAGATGTCTACAAGTCCTCAAATATAAACGGTTTGTTTTTGGAATTAAAAGTTATTAGATAGCAGAAAAAAGAGCGGAGAAAACAGAGAAGTAATATGGAGATGGAGAAGTCATAGGTTTCGTCGCTAAAACTGATGATATAGTTGAATAAAATTGAAGACACCGAGAACCTGTGCATGTAGTTGTATCTCTGAACCTGTGCATGTAGTCGTATCTCTGAACCTGGCTCGTGTCTTTGTCTCTTCACTATTCATTTTCAGACACTGACCTATCACTGCTTCAAAGTTAGTGGCTGGGGGCAGTCGACAATTCTTCAGGTGACATTGACCCATCCCTTTATATTTATGGTTATCCTTTCCTTTCTTCATTTAATGTTCATATCTCAGTTCAAGATTTAAATTTATTAAAATTTATACAGTTAACAAAAAGTTGATATGGCCGAGTTGGTCTAAGGCGCCAGATTAAGGTTCTGGTCCGAAAGGGCGTGGGTTCAAATCCCACTGTCAACATTTATTTTCGTTTTTTGGTTCAATTGTAACACTCTGGGTTCTATTTCAATTTTCAAAGCCGTATATAAGCCCACTCTGGGTTCTATTCTTCTATTTCAATTTTCAATTCTCAAAGCCGTATATAAGCCCTCATTCATGGGTCCTAATATAATCGACTCAATTTGACCCAATATTCTGAAGTCTACCTCAGATCTTAAGTTTTTGTAAGTGTTTTTTTCTATAGAAAAATCGGAGCCCCCTAGAAAAGTAGAAATGCAATACGAAAACCTTCGCCTTCTTTTGAACCTGACCTAAAACATGATAAATATTAATTCCATATGCACTTTATAAATTTCTTAAAGATATCTAAAGAAATTAGGTGTCTCAAAAGGACTAAATACGGATTAAAATAGCTCTCTTTTTTAAAAAAAATTCATGTTTTTGTCCTTGTAAAGTTAACTTTGTTTCATGTTAATTTAAGAATATTATCTTATCTAAAAAAATATCATATTCACTTTTCAAGGCTCGAGAAATTAACCTTTTTATCATATGAAAGAATATCATAACGAATAGCCTTTGTTGTACACTTTATATGACTAGTGCGTGCACATTGTTCACTTTTTGTAAAGTTTGTCACCAAATATAATTAAAAGTCAACTCACATGCTTTACCTGTGCTAAATTTAATTTATCAGTCTATCATATGTGTATATGAATAAAACTGAAAAAAGAAAGTCGCCAACAAGGCAATAATGCATTGAAAAGTTTGGGAACTTTGAAAAAATGAGGAATAATTTAAAATCTTATAGTAATACTAAAATGGACTAACCGACAACTAATATACCCGCGAGTTTTAGATGTACACATGGAATTGGTTGTGTCAATGTTATAAAATGGACATTCGTAGACATTTGAAGCAAAAGCATCACATCACTGCTCAAACATAGGTTTACACATATAATCCGAGAGAAGAAACAATAATTAGATTTCAATGGAGGAAGAGAGAAGAAACGAAGAAGAAAGCTCTCATCATCTTTGTATCCCTTTTCAATTCATTAACGAAGCCCTCAACACCTTCCTCAACTGTATTGGTTTTCATATTTCTCCTTCAACTTCTTCGCCATCTTCGGTAAGCATCTTAAGCATCTTTTTTTTTCCTTTAAAAAGGAGTTAAACTCCATTCTGTAATACTTTGATTTTTCTTTGTATAAATCGTTTTGACCAAATTAGACGTTACCATTTGGTGAATATATATAACATGATAGTTTACAAATGCAGGAGGAGGAGGCTACGAACGAGGTTGTGCCAACGACAAGGGGACTAATAGTCAAATCAAAGGGAAGGCCGAGAGAGACGGCTAGCTCAGGAAAGCCAGGCCGCCGTAACTAATTAATGATTTCATTAATTGTTTTTCTATTTTCTTTTGTAATGGCCCCTAAATCATTAGAAAGAGATTGTGTTTGCACTTGCGTGCAGTTGACATCAGATCATAAACATATATCGTTATGTATTATATTTTCAGAACATTATAAATCGCTTGAAACTAAAAGCTTTTGTAAAGGTTCAAAAAAAAAAAACCCAAAAGCTTTTGTCTTCAAACGTTTATGGTAACGGACAACAATGTACGGCGACACACGGAATATTATGATCTGTCTTTTAAATAAATTTGTTGTGACGGTATATTATGTTTTTAAGAATGGTGATTCTTGTATTACTCTGAGATGTTAGCAAGCATAGTATATTAGTATTCGGAGTTGTCAATGCATGATTTAATATTATCGCGTGTAAATAAGATAATTCAGTCTCTTAGATTCTTGAATTTCTTCCAATAGCTTACAATTTATATGACAAAGTACTTAATTTTGTCACATATCGCTTTTCAATACAATTTTTCGAATGATGATGGTGGTGGTGAAGATATCATCACAAGAAGAGGAAGAGACAGAGGTTGTGGAAGCGTCGTCGAGGAATATTGTTTCAGCGAGAAATAAGCAGAATACAAGTTCCGGGAAGCCTGGACGTATCAACAAGAACCCTTCTTAAGTTTCTCTTCCACGTATCTTCGATTGAACAAAAGTCAACTTCAACAATTGAAGTTAATAATTAATTTGTTTAGAAAATCCTTTATTAGTTTCTACATCGATCTTCTTCTCATGCTTAATGTATATTTTTACAAAGATCATGTTCTTTTGTGTGTATCATGTGATTCTTGTTTGATTGAAGTTTTTGTGTCATTTCTTTTGGTGAAATGACAAAGGATAACTTGAACTCTGTGTAATATCAAAGTTGTAATGAAGGATGAACCTTATGGCGATTTAAATTGTTAAGTAGGATCTTGGCTGAAATATAAGGAAGAAAAAAGGTGAATGAATTGACTTTTTAAGATTTTACAAATGGGCAATTAATTATGAAAAGGGCAATAACTTTTTATTTACTTGAAAATCTTGAACGACCAAGATTATTCGTTGTCTGTTTTACAAACATTCAAGTTTTTCTTTATTTCTTGTTCGACATATGATTCTGAAGCGGTGTGAAATTGACGACGACCAAAGCCAAGTCTCGTTGCTGATTATAGCTTTATTTGCAGATAGAGTTCATTTTTTTTTAGGGGAAGCACAGATGGAGTCAATATATTTTATATATTTTATATATTTCACGTATTCGTTTTGAAATATATGTCTGAACTTGTTGAAAACAAACTGGAGTACCTATTTTCAACAAGAAAAGGTACAATATAGAACATCTATTTCAAATCATCGATCGAAAATGAAAAGTAAACGCTAAGGGCTTTATGTGTTTTTGCCAGGAAACTCCTCATCTTTCTTATGAAATTTAAAACGACCAAACCTCCACCAGTATACAAAGCAACAGATATGTATTTTAGAAAGTGATAATTAAGGAACATATTTTATCCAATAACCTTTTTTAAATGATGGCCACATGAGTATGTGACATAAATAGATGAATAACTTATACGAACATGCAACGCTACGAAAAGACGCGCCAAATGAGCTGTTATTATTAGATTAAACTTGATTAACATATTTAACTTTTTTCTGTTAAATATTCATACCAATTTTTAAAGAACCTACTTTTTCTTTAGAAGTTAACACAGACTGATGAGCCTCTGTATATATTTATAAGGGAATTCCTCAAGTCACTCCTTCTCTCACATAGCTCAACTGAAGCGAAGATGGAGAGAGAAGGAAATTTAAGAAAAGGAGAAGAAGAAGAAGAAGAAGAAGAAGAAGAAGAAGAAGAAGAAGAAGAAGAAGAAGAAGAAGAAGAAGAAGAAGAAGAAGAAGAAGAAGAAGAAGAAGAAGAAGAAGAAGAAGAAGAAGAAGAAGAAGAAGAAGAAGAAGAAGAAGAAG